AGTTTCCTCATCTGTAAAATGGGGATAATAATAAACTCCAGGTCATGGAGTATTTATGAGGCTGCAATGAGTTAATCCACGTGAGGTGTTTCAAATGATGACTGGCAGTTGTAGCAGTGAATATACACGTTAGCTGTCGTTATTATTGCTATGTCAGGGACTTACGAGGTGTTTAAACTCCTAAAATCGTTCAGAAAATCTAGTAGGTCTGTGTATTTTTCCTGGAAAAAGACTCCTCCGCTTCTCTCATATTCTCAAAAGGTTTTGTGACACAAAACGTTTTCAGAAGCACTGGGCAACCAAGAATACATTCAGTATCAAACACCATCACGTAAGCCTTGCCCCTGACATTCCTCCCCAAACACCTCCACATTCAAACATAAGGAATGTGGCCCAAATCAAGAAAGCCAGCATGTGAACACAAAGCAGTACGCCAAAGCAGCTGAGAGCGCCGACACTCAGTTGTGGGTTCAAGTCTCAGTAGTGCCATTTATTACTGGGGACAAGAGCCCCTACACCACACCGCCCCTTTGAAGAGCCAGATCTGTTCCTCGATGCAGGTAAAACACCCAGGCCGGCACCTGGCAAAGAGCCGATGCTTAAAACACACTTAGCTCTCTTCTCCCATTAGTTTCCTACTGCTGACAGGAAAAGCCTGTCTGGAATTCCGTAACCACCGAAGGTCAAACCACCCTTTCCTGTTTGGTTCCAACATCACAGGGTTGCGAATAGGTGAGACCACACTCAAAAAAGAACCTGGCCAGGGGTCTAGAAATGGTAGCCTGGTCTGGCCACTTTACTTCTCCTCTCCCGACGCTTCAGTTTCCCCACCTCTAAAATGGGGCTTATGGGCTTAGATGATCTCCTGAGGCGCCTTCCGGTCCTGAGCCCACTGACTTCAGAAAGCAGGATACATGGCAATGATTCAATCTCTTCCAGCTGAGGAAACTGAGGTCGAGAAAGCAGAAGAAACCTATCTGGCCACACACTGATGCTATGGCCAGCCCCCGCCTAGTCCTTAGATCATCTTTCTCCTCTGCTACCCGGCACAGCAATCATTACCTGCCCATTTTCCAGGTAAGGAAGCTGAGGCCCAGAAGGAGAAAGTGCCTCAACTCACTGCCAGTTAGCTTACGAGTCCAGACCCTGGGTCTCCAGACTCATAGGAAGGAGACAGGGGTAGGGCAGGATCACCTGGAGCACCACAGAGATGGTCTTCTCGCCTGCCTTGGCTGCCCGCCATTTTCGATAAGTGTCCGCCTTGAGAAGGTTTTCTGCACAGTGGGTCTGGAGATAGGAATGGGAAAGAAAGAGTTAGGGCACAGTGATGAAAGCTGGGTCTCCACTCTCAGATTAGTCCTTTGAGTCCTCCCAAGCTCTCTGCGGTCCCCCAGATTTAAGAGTCCTCGTTAATCCCCCCACAGTCTGCTTCTAGTTCCCTACGACACTTTCTCCTGGAAGTTCACCTATGGGCTCTCCAAGCAAGGTCCCCTATTCCTACTTTTCTCCCCGGAACTTCCATAAATGCCCTGAAGGCCCCTATTCCACATCTTCCCCTGAATTCCCTTATAGCCTCCTGGAAATTCTCCCATGACCCTCCTTAGCCTCCCAAGAAGTTCCCTTTTAACACTCCAAAAGTTCTTGTGGAGCCCAGACGTCTCAGAATTCCCTTCTGTCTTCCAACCTCCCCCACGCCAGTCCCTCACCGAGTCCTGGCTACTGCAGGACACCACATGGCGGAGGCGGATCTCCGGCATGTCAACGGAGTGGGTTCCGCCCGGCCCGAAGGACCAAGGAGGGCTCGAGTTCGGGGGGCCGGGAAGGAGATGCTCCCCGCGCGCGTTTTAGTGCGCAAGCGCGCGAGACTCGGGCCTTTCAAACCGCGACGCGACGGCGTGCGCGTCAACCCCGCGCAAGCCCAGTCGCGCCTCTCCGGAGAGAGGCGCTGAGTTCCCTAGCAACGAGCTTTCCCTCTGGCCCCGCCTCTCTCTGGCTCCACCACTCTCCAGCCTCTCCTGCCCGGGAGGGTCCCACCCCGCTCACCGGGCGCCTAGCAACACAAGCGGCCCTCGGGATTGGGCCCTAGAAGAAATTCTCCATTCTCATTGGACGACGCTGTCACCGCCCAAACTGAAGCCTAGAGGACCCCAAACCCGAGTAGTTTTTCTCAGAAAGCCTGCTGCTTACTGCAACAGGATTCCCGCCACCGGTTCCTACCGCTACACTCTCCTCCAGCTAGCTTCCCACCACACCACACACACACACACACACACACACGGAAAAAAAAAAATCTCAGCTCTCTCCCAGGGTTATGCCTGCCACCGGTTCCTACCGCTACACTCTCCTCCAGCTAGCTTCCCACCACACCACACACACACACACACACACACACGGAAAAAAAAAAATCTCAGCTCTCTCCCAGGGTTATGCCTGCCACCGGTTCCTACCGCTACACTCTCCTCCAGCTAGCTTCCCACCACACCACACACACACACACACACACACACGCACGCACGCACACGCACACACACACACGGAAAAAAAAATCTCAGCTCTCTCCCAGGGTTATGCCTGAGGCCCAAAGACAGTGGGTGAAGGACTTAAGTAAAACACAGAGCATTCGCCCACACTCCCCGCCTACAATACTTCCACCCATGCCTCAGTTTCCCAAACTGACCTGTGGGCATCTGTCTCCTACCACACCTGTCCCTGCCCGTTGACAGGCACTCCTCTGTTCGGTCCTTGCCATACCCCAGAGGTACAGCCTGAGGCTGGTCGGAGCAGGAGACAGCCCGCACACAAAACAGAAAGTGTGGGCAAAGCCTCTGAAGAAGGAAGGGGAGATGAGGCTCCCGGGCCCTCGCGGAACGAGCCTGGGCATGCTGGGCACTCCCAGGTGGGGCCCCACCCACGCAGGTGCCTCCTTGGGAAGAGCGAGAAGGGAGAAGGAATCTCAGCCCTGTAGCCGCTCTACACCTACAGGGAATCAAGTGACCCGACTCTGACCTTGAGCTTCAAGCCAGAAAAAAAAGGAGGGGGGGCGGAGGCAGTGGGAAGGTGAGAAAACTGGAAAGTGAACTTCTGGGTCCTGATGGAAGAGGGGGCTGGAAACCCAGACTCCCGGGGTCTCCGTGGAGGAGGGGGCTGAGCACAAGATGCCCGTGTTTCTTTTGAATTCTGAGTTTGCCTCCCCAACCCAGAGCCACAGAGACCTGCTCTGAGATCTTACCTCAGCTATTTCTCACCCCGGGGTGAAGGTAGGTCTAGACCCGCCCTTCCTAAGCTTCCTATAAGGGCTGGGAACCCAAGACTGCTGGGTCACACACCATGAGGCCCTCCACAAGACCTGGGACCTTCCTGCTGGCCTGCATGCTGTTCTGCACCCTGCTGGGTCTTGGTAAGTGACCAGGGGCCTGGACTCCTGGGACCCTCAGAAAAGAGAGGACTATGAGAGAGCATTCAGCAAGGGCCTCCAGGGGAAAAGAGCAGATGTCCTGGGAATTCAGGTTCATGGCGAGGACTGAAGTTAAAGGAAGAGACAGCCCCGGGCCCCAAGGGAGGAAAAGCTCAGAAGCTCATGTGGTTGGATTTCTGAGAAAGGAGGGGGCTTGTTGGGCTCTGAATCCTTTCTTCCCCAGACAAAAAAAAAAAAAAAGACATTTAAATTCTAGAAAATCAGATGAGAGCATGACTAGAAAGGGAAAGATTTTTTTTTTTTTAAATCTGGAGGGATAACTATGTATAGACTAAACCACTATAAATATCTAACCACTATGCTGTACACCTGAAATTAATATAAAATAATATTGAATGTCGACTCTAATTGAAAAAGAAAATTTTTTAAAAATAAAAATCTGGAGGGAAAAGAGAGATTTCCTTTCTCCTTGGAATCTCAGGATTTCAAGCCCCCATCCCCTCCTCCCTTAGACGCAGGAGTTCAGGTAGGTTCCACCTTCCCCAGGACCCAGAGGTCTGGGACCCCAGCCGCCTCCTTTCTCAGGACCAAGGAGTCTGTGCCCTCAGTCCCCCTGGTCCTCAGTCTCCCTTCTTGACCGGAGATGCAGACCATAGCCTCAGGTACCCCTGCCAGAGCTTCTGCTATTTGCAACACCTACACACGGTACCTACGAGAAGGATCCCATATCCAAGAACCAGCGGGACCTGAAGTTTTGCAAAAGTCCATGGAAACCTGCGGCAGGACCCCTCCCTGTCCTTGAGCATTCTCAGAGGACCCTAGCGTCCAAAGTCCCCAGCCTTGTAATTAGGTAAACAGGCTCCCGTGGCAGAGTCGCTCCCCGCCCCAAGAAGCAGCTTTGCTGGCATCACCAGCGCGTCCCTGTCAGAGCCCTGGACAGTTCCCTGAACAGCGGTTAACGTCCCGCCCATGAACAATGGGGGAGGCACCCGTCCCACCTTCCTCAAACCCAAAAGTCCGTCCCGTCCCCCGCCCCCATCTCCCTCTGGACTCAAGTGGAAGTCGTGGTCCGAAACCGCCCACCGGGACTGCAGCCCCGCCCTCTGCACTGCAGGGTGCCCGCTAAGCTGCGAGGTGTGCCGGGGCTCTGGGCCCACGTGCAGCGGGAAAACGAAGACTTGCGAGGCCGGCAAGGACGCCTGCGTGATCGTCGTGGGGCAGTCGGCCACCAGTATGTGCTCGTGGCGTCAGACCCTGGGGAGCGGGGTGTGCGAACGAGGTCGGGGGTGGGGACATCAGGGTTCGCGTGGTGGGCGAGCGGGGGAGAGGGACGGACTGTCTGGAGGTGAATGGAGGGAGGTGAATTCATTGGGGCTTTAGAAACCATTCTTGTCCGGGATTTCTGAAAATGAGACTCTCCAAAAGAGATGAGGGTGGAGGGGGCAAATCTGGGGACTTTTTAGGCAGGAGGGAGTGAGGAAAGGGAATGGGAACAGAGTAGCGAGAGGGGAGGAATCTAATGGCCCAGAGGAGGGTGGGAGGTAGAGAAGGCAGAGGCTGGGGTGAGTTGGGAGGAATGTGATCAGGCGGGACCTCTGGGGAGGGAGGGAGGGAGGGAGGTACACACTCCACCAGCGGTTCTGGGGGCCCTGCAAGCTGGAAGAGACCATCCTGACGGGAGCAGAGAGACGATACTGGGGGAGGAAGAGAGACATCAAAGGGACCCCACCAGACGGAGGAGAGGGAAACTAATCCTAACGTATGGAGAAGTAGAGATGGGGAAGCCTGTGAGTAAAATGGGGGAGGACGGGAGGACTTAAATGGACGAGACCATCCCAGACCCGAGAAAGGATGGGGGAGGCGGGGAGCAATGGAAGAGGGCTGGGCGTTCATTCCAAGCCGAAATAGACCATGAGTCACAGGAGGAGGGATGATGGGGCACGGTGTGGGGACGAAGGCTGTGCCGGCAGAGGCGGGGCTACCTCGAGTGTCTGACGGGGGGTGGGGGCGTGCAAGGAAGGTGGGGTGGAAGTCTGCACCCTGCCCTCTCCCCTAGCGGCGAACGCGGCTGCGGGAAGGACTTGGAAATCTTGAAGAGACACCGTCCCCCATGTAGGAGGGACATACAGACCCTGGGGGTGGGGGGCGAGGAAACTGGAGTGGGGAAACACCCTGTGGTGGGGTGAAGAGGGGAACCCTTAGATGCGGTGGGGAGGAGGAAGGCTGGGGAGACTGGAAGAGACCACTTAAGGTGAGACCTGAAGGTAGCCAAGGAGGGCGGCAAGAAGCCATCGGTGGGAGGTCCGGGGAGGGGCCATGGGGAGACCTGGAAGAGACTGCCTTAGATAGAGAGGGATATGGGTGTTACAGGGTGGAGGGTGGGGGTTCCAGCATCCTAGAGTTTGTTGGAAGTGACTTGGAGCGGGGGTGCTAAAGTCGTGAAGATTGGAAGAGCGCATTGCACACCAGCGTGGGTGTGGCCATAGGCGACCCGGGAGAGACCGCTCGACCTGCAGGACCTTTAGAGGATGGCTGTGGAATTGGGGTGGCATGGAAGGGACCATGTCAGGCAGATGCCGGGCTTGGCAATGAGGAACTGCAAGAGGTCACCAAAGGCTGACAAGGGGCTATGGCAACGAGGTGAGGGAGGCGAGGAGAGCTACCAAATAAACTCCAGACCATTCTCCAGGCAGGTCAGGGACACGGCTTGGTGGGGGTGTGCGGCTGGAAGAGACCACCCTAGACGGTCAGGGGAGGTGGGGATGGGGAGCTGTAGGATTGGGAGAGACCTCAGGCAGGGGTCAATGCCAGCCGAGCCCTCCCCTCCTGTCCTCCTCCCGCAGAGGGCCGCCACTCAGTGAACACCTACAAGGCCTGCATGAAGTTTAGTGACTGCTACTCGGGTTTTGTGTCCACCACCATGGGCCCCAAGGACTACATGGTGTCCAACACTCACTGCTGCCAGAGCGACGGCTGCAACCGTGGCTCGGTGCCCCGTAAGTCCCAGCCCGGCCCCTCACGGGGAGTCCCTCCCAGCCTGCCCCAGGAGCCCACTGTGCGTGCTCTGGCCCGCCACCGATCTGTGCGCTGAAACATTGGGCAAGCACTTTGTTTGCTCTGAGCCTCAGTTTCCTCACCTGTAAATGCAGTGTCTGTTAACAACCGCTGTTCCCCAGCGTTATTGTGAGGTTGGGGGAATGGTCTGAACATCTTTTCACACCCCCAGCTCCGCAGAACAATCGCACCGAGAATGGTCTCCAGTGCCCCGCCTGCATCGTACCCTTCCAGGAGACATGCCCAGGGACCAAGGCAGCCCGCTGTGTTGGCCAGGAAACGCACTGCGTCTACTTCGCTGGCAACGTGCAGGCTGGTGAGGGGCACCTGGATCTCTGGAGGGGACAGGGACCCCAGACCAGGAAGCCCATGCTTCCAGGTTCTAGGGGAGCGGTGGCCCCACAGAACTGGGCGAGGAGGTGGCAGGGGCCAAGACTCCTGTGTCACGAGGAAGGAGAGGTTGGGGACCCTGAGTCCATTCTGAAATCCGCCCCTCACCCCAGGTATTATCAACGCCAAATTTGCCACTCGCGGCTGTGCTACAGAGAGCGCCTGCTACACCAAGCCTGGGGCCCAGGTGCCCTCGGCCTCCTATCTCTACTTCCTCCGCCGAGCAGACTGTCTCCCAGCCCCCCGGCAGGGCTGAGTGAAGAACTAAGAAATGTGTGCCTCGAGGTTTCCATCTGTCCTCAGCCTGCAGCTCCCTATGTGCTTGTAAATTAAAGAGATTAAGCCGAGCGATCCTGAGTCCTCGTGACATGATGCGTCTCGGGAAGGTGGGTGGCAGAAAGCAGGGGACTCAACCCTTGGGAACCTCCTCTTTGCAAGGGAGAGAGGAAAAACCTTACCTTTCATTAAGGGACCAATTCCTGCCGGGCCTCTGTACTAAGTGTTTTCCATGCTGTATCTCATTTCATAATCATGACAGCTCTATGTGGTTATTATAATGCCATTTTACAGAGGAGCCGCTGCAGTACATGGTGCCGTGTCACTTGCTTTGGGTCAAACCACTGTGGAGAGGCAGACTCCAGAATCCATGCTCACCTCTCCTGATTAACCTCTGCCTCTTTTTGCCTCAGTTTTCATGTCTGCAAAATGTGGGTATTAATAGTTATAACCTCATAAGGTTGTTTTATGAAAGGAAACTTAAAAAAGCACTTAGTGCAGTGCCTCGCACTTTTAAGACAAAGTTGCTTCTAGAGACAATACGTCTGAGTAAATAGTCATCATCGTGATAGCTGCCACTTACTGAGTGGCCATTAGTTGGCAGCTGCTGAACATTGGCATCAATCAGGACAGACGAGTTTATGCTACGGTAACAAAGCAGTCCCTAATCTCGGTGGTTTAAAATGACTAAGTTGTATTAGTCAGCTAATGTGCAGTACTGAGACTTATAGCAAGTATTATTTTTGCTAAGGGTTTGTGGGTGGCTGGGTGGCTCTGCTTCTGGCTGTTTGGCTCCAGTTTGAGGAGTAAGATTCCAGTCCTCCTCCCTGGGGTTCCACAATCTTCTGAAGTCAGTGGCTCCCTGGGAGATCATAGAAGCACAAAAGTCAAGCGCATTTAAGGCTGAGGTCAAGTCCGCTAACATTCCACTGAGTAAAGTAAATCATACGGTCAAAGCCAACCTCAGTGAAACAGGGAAGTCTCCTCCTCCTCTATCGGGAGGGAGAGGAATGGTATTTGCTGAGCATGCACCCACTCACAAAAAGTTGAATCTTACTTCACCTACATGTCTAGCACAGGTGTTCTGCTAATCATCATAGAGCAGCTACCAACTCAAACATCACCCATTTCTGTGCACAGGAAAGAGCCCAGGAAAGTTTCAAATGGGTCATTAAATGCTCCAACCCAGAAGTGACTTGACACAACTCACTGGATGGAGCAAGTCACATGGCCCCACCAAACCCCACGGGGACCAGGAAGTACAATCCTGCCCCATGACATGGGCATGTTTCATAAACAGCACAAATGACCACCATGGCCTCATAGGGGCTCTTTCTCATTTTACCTTCACAACTCCATGTGACAGGCACTAGTATTTTCATCCCTGTTTTCAGAAGAATCTGAGACTCAGAAAATAGATGCCACATTGGAGGTCACACAGCTAAAAAGTGGCAGAGTTTGAGATTTTTACTGGGTCCTGTTGGGGGAAAAAGAGACCACATCACAGAAACAGTGAACAAACCTGTATTAGTTACCTTTTGCTACATAACAAGCCACTCTAAAATTTTGTGGCTTAGAACAATCACCTTTTATTTAACTCATGATTCTATGGGTCAGCAGTTTGGCCTGGGATCAGCTGGGTGATCACCCTGCTGCTCTCTGCTGGGTTTGGCTGCCTGTCAGCTGGGCAGCTCTGTTTCAGAGGGTTGGCTGGCTGTGGGTTGGGGTGTCAGGCTGACTGGGCCACATCCCTCATCGCCCAGATTAGCCAGGGCTTCCTGACACAGCAGTGCAGGCAGGGGTCCCCAGGGCAGCGAGAAGAAGCCCCCGCACTTTAGCACTGTCCAAGCCTCCGCTCACGTCATGTCGCCCACTGTCCCAACGGCCAAGCAAATTACGTGGCCAGGTCTAGAGTCAGGATGAGAAGGGACTGTCCAAGGGCATGGTACAGAGAAGCTGAGCAGATTGGTGGCATAAATGGGCCAAGCTGGTTCTAGAGCTAAGATGCTTTACCATCACAAGCCTCCAAGGTGGAAAGTCATCAGTCTGCCCAAACCCCAGGCAAAACTCAGAAACAGATAAAGTCTCTTGATTCTAGCCCAAGGGAGTCTTTCTTGCACAGACCCCCACCATCCTCCTCTCTCAGATCCCAACGTCCAGCCTTCCAGATCCAGTTAAAATCCCAAGTATCGTTTTTTACCCAAATAACACAGACACAGTGGTATTTCTACCCATTTTTATTCACTCCCCCAAAAAGCACCGCAGGCCAACCACACTCTCGATTCACCCTTCACGGTTCCCCGCTCAATGCACGCAAGTCCTTCAATTATCATCCAGAAACGTAGGAACCTCAACTAAGGGGATGAGCTTGTCTCAATCACCCAGGTTCTCTGTGCCTATTTTGCTTCTGGCATTGGCAATGCCAAGGTCCGTCACACTTTTCCTTGAATTCTTGTCTTCGGGGGTCTTCCAGCCTGGAGGTGTCACACAGACACACCCAGACGGCAGCCAGCCACAGTTCAAAAGGGAGGTTGAGTCTTTTCTTCTTAGATGCTCCCAGAGACAGGTGCCTCACTAGCAACCTTATGCCTCTGCGAAGCCTAAAATTCAATGCCATCAAAAGTCATGATTTAAAAGGCGACCACTTCAAAAATGCCGACATACACCTATACACAGTAACACGATCAGCACTCCTCAATGGACAGAGGCACGCACAGACAAAACTCGGTCTTGCTTTCTCAGATACAACCCCTGGCGTGACCCCCACTGGCATGAGAGCAGAGGGAATGTGGAGCAGGGGAGCAGAGACGTCAGACGGGACCACATCGGAGACGATGTCAAAGTGGCAGAAAAAGACAAGGGCACTCTGTGAGCAAAGGCATCGGGGTGAGACGGCAGGTGCCCAGACTGGAGTCGTCTTGGTGCTGCCCGGGGCTGAGGGCCCGTCTGCACATGCACTGAATTCTCACCATGACCCTGTGAGGTGGATGGATGACCATTTGCTGAGTGACTTGTTCAAGGTCACCACCCAGTGTCAGCGGGACTGCCTGACCCTAGAGCTATGCTAATGAAATTTCATTTCCTTAAGGCTGAAAGCTTTGAGGACAATGCCTGAGCCATTCCACATAAAGCTTTTTCCTATCTTGGCCATCTTGACTTTGATGGGACGAATTGCGCCAACGGTGGGAATTCAAGCTGGAGACGGGGGAGTCATCCCTCAAGTATCTGCCCCACAGAATGGTTACCCTCATCTTCAGTTCTCAAAGGGAATAGGGTCTGGGAAGTACGTATGGTTCTCATCCAGCCCTTACATTTTACAGATGCGCGAACGAGGCAGCAGTTCAAGTCACCCAGAGTGACAGTGGCAAAGTCGTGTTTGTTTCCCAGGCCCCCTGACCTCAGACAGGTGCTTTCTCTCCCATCAGGTGCTTGTTTCTTCCCCCACCTCACGCCCTTTCCATCTTGTGGCAGGAGGCTGACAATCTATATTCCAACCCTAGTTCTGCCACTGACTAATGAATTAAAACAATATTTACTAAGCACCTACTGTGTGTCAAGCACTATTCTAGTGCTGGGGGGGTGGGCAGAGAACAAGACAAAGAAGATAATAACCAATAAACAGGTAAGTAAATAAATAAATAGTGATTTTCTATAGTAATAATTGCTATACAGAAAATTAAAAGGCTGAGAAAAATAATGGGGTGGGGGGAGGAGTGGGCTACTTCAGTTACAGTGGTCTGGGAAGGCCTCTTTGAGGGGGGAAAAGAGACCACATCACAGAAACAGTGAACAAACCTGTATTAGTTACCTTTTGCTACATAACAAACCACTTGAGCTGAGACCTGATTGACAAAAGGAGTCAGCCATGGAAATCCGGGGCAGAGCATTCTAAGCAGAGCGAATTGCAAGTACAAAGGTCCTGAGGCAGGACCCAAGGCGGCCCATTCAAGCATGGGAAGGAAGATCTAGCTGGCTGATTGGGGGATGGGGTAGGGCAGAGAATGAGAACAGGCAGGGGCCAGACCACGTAGGGTCTTGCTAGGCTGTTGGGCCTAGAGCTTGCCCTGTCTGGGCTTTGCTCGCCCCATCTATCATAAAAGAAATTCTACTGGATAGCTTCTCAGGTCCCCTCTGTTTTTGACATCAAAGAATCTGTGACCTGTGGCTGCTCCTCTACATGTAGGTGGCAGCTTAGAACATTCCAGGGACTGTGGTTTCTGCCTTTGCCTAACTCATGGCACATTCTCAGGGGCTAGAACACCTTCCCAACCGTCCTGTGGGTGCCTTGCTCACTGTGGCACTCTCTGTGTACACCAGAAGGCAGAGCCTCTTGAGGATGCCTGACGGAGCCAACACAGAGACGCCTGGATTAGGGCAGTACGGCTGCTTCTCCAAAAAGGCAGGTGTACGAAATACCAAGGCCAGAAGGGGTTCAGGTTTAATGACAGAAAAAATCAAGACCAAAAGAAGATAGAAGCCACTAAAGGAGAGAGGAACAGAGGGACAGACTCCCCAGAGAGCCCTCAAATTGCTCAGCACCTATGAAATGGGGGCAGTCTTATCCCTTCCCAAAGTTACAGAGCGGGACAGTTTCCAGGACCCGAATCCATAGAGACTTGCAGGAGTAACTCTGAGGTACAGGTTCTTGCCTTTCCACACCCAGAAGGCTTCGTTCCTGGTCTCTGGCTACCCCCAAAGGCCACCACATCCCTCTTGCCTCCTCCCCTCACTTTCGTGGGACCATCTCCCCACAACAGCTGGGAATGCAGTCTGCTCCACCAGGCTCCCCGAGGAGCAAATATTAAACATCCCTCGGGGTTTCCAGCTGTCACACAGTTTCCTGTTCCCGTCTCTGGATGTAGACCTCCCGCCATCCTCCCAGAATTAGGAACCACAGTCCACAGCCCTTTTGGGATCCAGGAAGCCAAGACCCCAGAGACTGCCATCCCCCCATGAAGATTCAAAGCCCCGCTGCCTTTTGAAGACCTCGAGGCAGTGTGCAGGGCAATTCCCCCCAAGAAATCTAGACCCTTTGTGGCTCGGACGCCCAAGGGCTCCAGCTCCCTGGAGTACCCCGACCCAGTCCTCCACACCAGGATCCCCAGTATCCCCTCCACACGGCGACCCCAGCAGGAAGCAGGGCTTACACTCCCCCTCTCACTGGAGGCCTAGACTTCCAACAGATCGTTTCCACTCCCCTGAAGACCAAGATAGACCTCCTTCTAGGAGTCTAACCCCTCAGCTCCCCTCAGGACACAAGTCTGGGGGGATTACTTTATGATCCCTAAAATAATCAGGAGTCCTGACCTCCAGATTCTATTCCCCTCCAAGACTCTGTGATGCGGGTGACTAGAAGTCACACATCCCAACCAGCAGTCAGCACCTCATCCCCTTCAAGTACATAGGAGTTGGAGTGACAGCCGGGTGCTGCTATGTCAGAGGCCCTGACGTCCCATGCCAGAGTCTGGACCCCCACTTCCCCTCCCTCTAAATAGGACTTAGAATCCTCACCCCTCCAGCAAACAGCCAAGAAGCAGGGCATCCCTAAATCCCCATCCCTCATCCCACCCCTTACCCCGCCCCTCACTGTGCAGGGGCATCGGGTGCCAGCACCGCCTCAGCGTCCGCCAGCATCTCGTCCAGCGCCTGCAGCAGGACACCGTGCGCCGCGCGGTAGCCCAGGCC